AAAAGAGAATACCAATTTTATAAGTTTGAGATAATACAGGGAATTCCTTGAGAGTCATAGAAAAATATAGCCACACTACACGCTCATTTTTTTCACTCTGCTCAGCCACAGTTATTTAGGGGAATATCCATAAACAGTTTTAAGGCTGTGTGCAAGGTATAATAACAAACTCAGGTGTTAAGTGTTTCTCATTTCCATTGCCATCATGTGCTTTTAACTGCTAAACAAATAAAAAAGTTTTGCCGTATCCTTTAAATAGCTATATATTTACCAGAAGGCAAATTGGGATAATCAGAATGGTTTTACCCCACTTTATCATCCACCTCTAAATCAACTTTAAATAATCTTGTACCTCCTGTTACTTATAACTACAGACAAGACAGTAATTTAACACCTGCTCTCACTTTTCACACCATTACAAAAGAGAAAGCACAATGTTTATTTTACAGAATCATCTGCTGGTAACTGTAAGACATTAGGTTCTCAGACTCCCCCATCTGTATTGGAAATGGAGAAGGGAGGCACACCCACAAGTATCTGGTGCTCTTTTGGAAGCATGTTTTTAATAAATGAAATTAGAATTTTGTTAATTTTATTAATCTCTTCGTTCATAACCTAAACTGTAACTCAAGAATAGAAAGTACTTTTTCAGGTGCAGGTATTCCCATATGCATAGGAAGATCAAATTTATGTTTACACCTCCAGGCCTGCCAGCACCATTTACAACTTAAAACTGTAATGAGGCCAAAATGTGACATGAATCATCCTCCCAAAATAATTCTTGTGGCATGAAAGAGGCTGTCTTACAAACACACACAGGGAAAAGGGTACTTCCACAATACTGTTTATGCCTATGGCATTTGAGTGCAAATCTTGGAGTGATAAGCAAGACTGTGTAAGCATGTGTACTAGCAAGCCCCTGCAATCATCCAGTGAGAAGAAAATTTATTCAATAACACCAAAACACCTTAAGCTTTTTCAAAGTTAACAATGTAATCAGAAATTTAATTTTATTATATAACAAGCACTTGAAGATCAACAGAATTGCACAAACACACATCCATGCCTTCTTTTAAAAATATTTTTTTAGTTGTTGATGGACCTTCATTTTATTTATTTATATGTGGTGCTGAGAATCGAACCCAGGGCCTGACACATGCTAAGCAAGTGCTCTACCACTGAGCTACAACCCCAGCCCCAGGCACATTCTTTTAACCCAGCTCCAATTAGTAAGCAAATCATTTTCTGGTAAGAAATTAAGCCTTTCTGGCCACTGAGTTAACATTTACTGAAGGATTAACAAATGGCACTCAGAGAAAGCTTTAGGAGACAACGTTGAGGCAAATTCATTTCACACACCCTCCCTGTCAAAATCTTCCCCTCACTGCCCACAAACTAAAGAGAAGGGTCTAAACTGCTCTACCTGGAGTTCAGGGGTATAACAAACAGACCAGCCTCTTTCCAGGGTTCCCATCTTAAAATCAGAAGCCTGTATTCAGGGTAAGACCTCAACACACCCTTCCCTGGGCCTTGCTACCTGCCTGCATCCTGACCATCAAGGCCCGAGCCCAGCCATGCTGTCCTCCCCTGAATGTTTCTCTCTTCTCTGAATCCCTGTAGGCTATATACTATTATTCCTGGGGCTTACAGACTTCATCACGGATCCCTAGTGGAATGAATCCAAAATAATTTTCCTATATACACATAAATATACCATAGTGAATCCCACCATCATGCACATCCATAAGAATAGGGTCCTAATTAGAATAAGATGCATTCCATGCTTGTATAATTATATCAAAATGAATTCCACTGTCATATATAACTAAAAAGAACCAATAAAATAGAATAAGTAAAAGGTTTTAAGCACTTATCCCCAATGGATTTATTTTCTGTACAAATAAGGTGTGTACTATTAGTGTCCCTCACACAGTTCACATCTAATCATCAGAAAATCCTGTTGGTTCTACCACCCAATCATATCCAGTATCCAACTCCTCTTCACCTCTATTTCTAACACTCTGGTCCAAGCCACCATCATTGCTCATTTGGGAAATTGCTCTAGGCTTTCCAACTGGTATCCCTGTTTCTGCCCTTACTTCTGCATGGTGTATTCTCAACACAGCAGCCTTAATAATCCTCCAGAAACATGAGCTGGATGTTGGTTCTTCCTTGTTTACACCCTATGATGGCTTCCCATCTCATTCACAGTAAAAACCAAAGTCCTTGCATGGTTACCAGGACCTACCCACACATTTATTTGCATGGCCTCCCCATTATCTCACAGATTATCAACTGTCATTCTCCTTGTTTCTTGGGCTCCTGTCTTACTGACCTTCTTGCTCATTCATCTTCAATTTTCCAGGAATATCCTCACCTGAGGGCCTTACCTCTTGCTATGTGGGTGTGCACACACACATGAATGTGTGTGTAATGGATGCTCCTCCTCCACAGCCACATGGTTCATTTCCTTACTTCCTCCAGCTAGTTACACAATCATTTCCTTTGCTGAGGTCTTATTTGGCTACCCTAACCATAAACTGAAAACTCTTTCCCCAATTCTTCCCATCCCTTTCCCTGCTTCAATTTTCTTCCTAGCATACATTACCACCTAACACACTATGTATTTCCTTTTTCATCTTGTTTATCATCTGTGCTCCCCATCTGGAATATAAGCTCCTCAAGAGCAAGGATTCTTGCCAGTGTTCACTGCTGTGTCTCTAGTTCCCAGATGGTGTAGGAGGCACACAACACAGAATGACTCAGTACTCAGTACTTATTTCTCCCATTGAGTTTATGCTATGAGTGACTATCTCCTCCAAAAGTGTATGTGGAAGCTTAGTCCCCACTGTGGCAGTATTGAGACATTAGGTATTTGGAAGCATTTGCAAGGTTGGGTCATGAGGGCTCTGCCCTCAGAAGTGGATTAACTCGTATATGGGAGTTTTAAAAGTAAGTGTTCTCTCCCCACCACCTCTCTCCTGCCCTGCCTCTCTGTATGATACTCTTCACTCTTCACCATGTTATAATGCAACAAGAGTGTTCTCACCAATTCCTAAAATAAAATTAGGAATAGAACCACCACATGACCCAGCTATCCCATTGCTTGGTATTTATCCAAAAGAACTAAAATGAGCATACTTTAACAATACAATATTTATAGCAGCACAATTCACAATAACCAAATTATGGAATCAGCCCAGATGTCCATCTAAATGAATGCATCAAGAAAAAGTGGTACATAAACACAATGGAGTTTTACTCAACCATGAAGAAAAATGAAATAATGGCATTTGCCAGTAAATGGATGGAAATGGAGAACATCATGCTAAGTGAAGTAAGCTAGACTCAGAAAATTAAGAATCGAATGTTTTCTCTTATATGTGGAAGCTAGGGCAAAGTAAGGGAAAGAAGGTGGCTGGGGTGGAGAGGATTGGATATCATAAATACATAGGGAAGATTGGTGGAGTAGAAGGCTGAGAACGAGAGGGATGTAGAACAGATGGGAAAGAGAAGGAAATATGGAAAGAATTTAACAAAATCAAGCTACATGCATATATAAATGTACCAAAGGAAATTTCACTTTTATTCATATGTAGAACCTACCAATTAAAAAATAAATAAAGGAATGAAAGAAAGATCAGTGGAAAAAAGGAAGGAGAATAGGAGGAGGAAAGAAGGAAGGAAAAGGGAGAAATTGGGATTGAAGTCAAATTTCTTGCTGTTATGATTTTGTCAAAATGAGCCCAACTGCTAT